CAGGTATAGTTCTTACAGATGGAAACATTCTGAATAGCAGTGAAACATTGTCAGATACAGGGACAGAAGATGAGCCTCTCAGGTTGGAAGGCACTTAAAATATGATGGATGAACGGCCTCCTCAAAGTAGAATTGATCATAATGATGTGAATGGAGCAAAGCTTTTGGAACCTTCATTTGCTGATGGGCACAACTCAAAATGGGAAGAAACAGCTGCAAATATCCATTAATAATTGGAACACGGAATGTACAAGTATGAATCTAGGAAAGTTGGAAAATGGTGAAGGATCAGGCAATGTGTTTTTCTGTTGTGCATAAGATCACGGTGAGTTGCAGTGGACTCAACGGCACCTAACAACATGGTAATTCGATTCTAACTTTTTGAGAAACTGCCAAATAGTTTTACACAGTGGCTGCTGCACCTCTTAACATTCCTTTTAGCAATGGACAACAGTTCCTATTTCTCCGAATCCTCACTGATACTTGATGTTTTAGGCCTTTTTGATAATAGTTATCCTAGTGTCTATGAAATGGTATTTTCCTGTGGCTTTAATTTATATTTCCCTGTTGACTAATTGTGTTGAACATCGTCTCATGTACCTGTTGGCCGTTTGTATGGCCTCTTTGGAGAAGCACCTATTAAAATCCTTTGTCTATTTTTAAATTGGGTTGTTTATCTTTTTGTTGTTGAGTTTCAGCAGTTATCATGTATTCTAGGTATTAAACCCTGGACATTTTAGCCAATATCAGATTTGTAAATTGATTTTCCATTCTGTCGGTTGTCTTTTTACTCACGTATACTTCGATGTTGAATATTCAACCTGTATGCTGAGCAAATAATACGAGAAGCTGGGTTCTATGAAGAAAAACGTGGCATCAGGATTGGAGGAAGATACATTAACAACCTGTGATATGCAGATGATACAACCTTGATTGCTGAAAGTGAAGAGGACTTGAAACATTTACTTATGAAGATTAAAGAGCACAGCCTTCGATATGGATTGCATCTCAATGTCAAGAAAACAAAAATCCTCACCACTGGACCAATAAACAACATTTTTATCAATGGAGAAAAGATTGAAGTGGTCAAGGACTTCATTCTTCTTGGAACAACTATCAACACTCGCGGAAGTAGCAGTCAAGAGATCAGACGACGTATTACACTGGGCAAATCTGCTGCACAGGAACTTTTTAAAGTGTTGAAGAGCAGAGATGTCAGCTTGAGGACTAGGGTGCACCTGACCCAGGCCATTGTGTTTTCAATAGCCTCATATGGATGCGAAAGCTGGACAGTGAATAAGGAGGATCGTAGAAGAATTGATGCCTTTGAGTTGTGGTGTTGGAGGAGAATACTGAAAGTGCCATGGACTGCCAAAAGAACCAATAGATCTGTTTTGGAAGAAGTGCAGCCAGAGTGCTCCTTGGAGGCCAGGATGGCTAAGCTTCGTCTCTCCTACTTTGGACATGTAGTCCGGAGGAAACAATCGTTGGAGAAGGATGTCATGCTGGGTAAGGTGGAGGGTCAGAGAAAAAGAGGAAGACCCCCAACGAGATGGATCAGCCAGGTGGCATCATTGATGGACTCAAGTGTGGCAGCGGTAGTGAGGTTGGCCCAGGATCGAACATTGTTTCGTTCTGCTGTGCATGGGGTCACTATGAGTCGGTTCCGACTCGATGGCACTTGACAACAACAACAACAATACTTCGATGTACAAAAATTTTAATGTTAATAAAATCTAGTTTGTTTATTTTGTTGTTGGTGGTGTCCATGTTTTTGGTGTAATAGCTAAGAAACCATTGCCAACTCTTAAGATCATAAAAACTTACTCCTATGTTTTCCACTAAGAGATTTAGCTCTTAAATTTAGGTTTGTCTTAAATTAATTTATGTATATCATGTAAGGGACCAACTTTATTCTTTTACATGTGGCTCTCTTGTTTTCTCAGCACCATTTGTGGAAGACATTGCTCTTTTCCCTATTAAATGGTCTTGGAGCCCTTGTTGAGAATCTGCTTATTATAGATGTTGTTGTTGTTACGTACCATGGAGTTGGTTCAAACTCATAGTGATCCTGCACAGGGTTTCCAAGGCTGCAAATCTTTACAGGAGCACAAAGCCTCATCTTTCTCCTGCGGAACAGCTGGTAGTTTTGAACTGCCGACCTTGAGGTTAGCAGCCCTATTCGTAACCACTACGCTACCAGAGCTCCTTGCTTATTATAGATGTTGTTGTTCTGTTGTTGTTAAGTGCCATCGAGTCAGTTCCAACCCATAGTGACCCTGTCTAGGGTTTCTGAGGATGGGTTTATTTCTGGACTCTCTAGATGCGCATCCTTATACCAATACCTCACATCACTTTGATCACTTGTAGTAAGTTTTGAAATTGGAATGTCTTAGCCCTTCAACTTTGCTCATCTTTTTAAAATTGTCTTGGCTGTTCTGTATCCCTTAAAATTCTATATAAATTTTAGGATGAGTTTTCCTATTTCCATAAAAAACACCATTGGAATTTTGATAGAGATGTAATGAATTATGTATCACTTTAGGTAGCGTTGTCATCTTAACTATATTGCCTTCCAATCTATGAATGTGAGATTTCTTTACTATGTACTTGTTGTTGTTGTTGTTAAGTGCCATCGAATCGGGTCCGACCCATAGCGACCCTGTACAGGGTTTCCCAGGGTGTAAATCTTTACGGGAGTAGAAAGCCTCATCTTTCTCCCGCAGAGCGGCTGGTAGTTTCGAACCGCTGACCTTAAGGTTTGCAGCCCGATTCGTAACCACTACGCTACCAGAGCTCCTTTTACTATGTACTAGGGGGCTTCAAAGAGTTGGTAAAACACCTCTGTTATCTCTCTGTTCCATTTTCCCACTAACTTTTTGAAGTCCCCCTGTGTTGTTTATTGTTGTTAAGTGCCGTTGAGCTGGTTCCAACTCCTAGAGACCCTATACAGGGTTTTCGAGGAGCAGTGGTGGGTTTGAATGTCAGCCTAGCAATTAGCAATCTAGTGATTAACTTACAGTGACACACCAGGGACTAGGCCTTCTTTAATTTTTTTCAGCCCTGTTTTGTAATTTTCAGTATACAAGTCTTCTGCTGTAATTGTTAAATTTATTCCTTATAATTTATTCTTTTTGATGTTATTGTAAATGAAATAGTTAATTTACTTTTGTGCCCTGCAACTTTACGGAATTTGTTTATTAGCACATGACCCTTTTTTGTAGGTTGTCTGGAAGTTTCTGGGTCTTGTCATCTATGACTATTGTTGTTAGTTGTGGTCAAGCTGGTTCTAACTCATTCAGACCCTGTGTGTGCTAAGTGAAAGTGTGCTGCTTAGAGTTTTTCAAGGCAGATCACCAGCTCTTGCTTCCGAGGTACCTTTAGATGGGTTTGAACTGCCCACCGTTCAGCTAGTAGTGTAGGCCTTTACTGTATGTGCATACCAGAGGCTTCCATCTGTGGATTGAGATAATTGTATGCCATCCTTCGCAATTTGGATGCTCTTTATTTCTTTGTCTTACCTAAATTCTCTAGCTGGAGGTTCCAGTCATGTTGAAAAGCTATGATGGAAGTGGGCTTCCTTGTCTTGTTTTGACCTTAGATAATAAAGCTCCCAGTTAGTCTTCATTGTGGATAACACTGTTGATAAGTGCTGTCAAGTTGTGTCTGACTCATAGCGACCCTGTATAGGGCTTTCAAGGCTTTACATTTTGGGGGAGCAGAAAGCCTCATCTTTCTCCCACAGAGCTGCTGCTGGGGGGCTCAAACTGACAACCTTGTGGTTCGCTGTCCAGTGCTTTGCCTGTGGAGCTATGCGCTCCATAGAATATAACATTAGCTGTGGGGTTTTAATAAATTTCCTTTATCATATGAGAAAGGGAAACCCTAAACAGGGTCGCTGTGAGTTGGAGCTGACTCTATATAGGACACACCACCACCACCACTACCATTATTTAAAATTAAAGCATTATAATTAAAAAGTTGAAAAAGTTCCCATCTCTTTCTAGTTTACTCAGTGTTTTTATCATAAAAGGGTAGCGTTGTTGTTGTTAAGTGCCACTGAGTTGGTTGCAACTCATAGTGAGTCTGTATAGGGTTTCCAGGGAGCAGCTGGTGAGCTTGAACCACTGACCTTGCAGTTCAAACGGCTTTGCAGTCTGGCGCATTAATCCACTGCGCCACATTTTGTCAAATACTTTTTCTGCATCAATTGAGATAATTACATGTTTGTTTTTGGATTTTTTTCGCTTCATTTTATGCTATGGAATATTATATATATTGATTTTTATATGTTGAAGCATCCTGACATTCCTGGGAAAAATCCCACTTGGTATGGTGTATAATCCTTTTAACATGCTCCTGAATTCAGCTTGTTAATATTTTCTTGAGGTGTTTTACAAGATGTTTTGCATCTTGAGGTATTCATAGGGGACACTGATCTGCAGTTTTCTTTTCTTTAATGCCTTTGACTTTCATTAGTAAATATTCCCTCGTCATTGTTTTTGTTTTGAAAAGTTTGAGAAGAATTAGTGTTAATTCTTTATTAAATTTTGGTGGGATTTACTAGTAAAGCCATCTGGTATTAAACTTTTTTTTATAGGGACGTTTCAGATTATTAATCCAATCTCAGCTGTTACAGATCTGTTCAGATTTTGTCTTTCTTTTTGAGTCAGTTTTTGTTTGTTTCTAGGAACGTATCCATTTCATCTACAGTTCATAGTGATTTTGTTTCTGTAAAGTTAGTGATATTTTTTGTCCATTTTAAACATTGCCATGAGAAATTACTCATATTACAACTTTTAGAGGATTTTAAAGTAAAATTTAGAAGTACCTCTAGGTTGTGACCTCATTTGTTGTCAAATAACTAGATAAGACTATAGAAATTTCAGTAATAAATAATAATATAAGCAAATCCTGGGTGGAAAATCTAGAGAGCAGTTGCCAAGATTTAAAACACAATATGTACTAGTCTGTTCGTTGTTTCTTTTCTTTCTTAATAGGAAAAACGTGGCCTTCGGGAAATGCGAGTTCTTGAAAATTTGAAGAAAATGATCCATGAAACAAATGAACACATTCTCCCCAAATGTAGAGCGGCAATGCAGAACAACTTAGACCCGGTTCTCCAGAGATGTAAGCTGGTGACTTTTAATTATGGTGCTTTAATTTTAAATTAAATTAATGCTCTGTCCTAATATATTTCTGTGGGGATACTAGTGGCAGGTGAAGAGAGAGAATTCCTAACCAGGACATAGTGCTTTCCGGGTCAGACAGAAGTAAGAGGCTCTGTCAGAGCAGTGGTGGTGATGCGGTGATTGATGTGTTGCTGCTGATGTCAAGAGCTTTATCTCAGGTGATATGTGTACACCCTGAGGTGCCCACAAAGAACCCTTTGGGGTATGAGAAAGTAGAAAACAGTTTTTAAATATATCTGTAAAATTCTGTTGGCGGAAGTACAGCCAGAATACACCTTTGAAGTCAGGACGGCCAGACTTCGTCTCTCATGCTTTGGATATGTTATCAGAAGGGGATAGTCTCTGGAGAAAGGACATCATGCTTGGTAAAGTAGAGAGTCAATGAAAAATAGAAAGACCCCCACAGTGAGATGGATTGGCACAGTGGCCGCAGCAGCAATGGGCTCAAGCATAGCAACGATTGTGAGGTTGGCACAGGACTGGGCAGTATTTCATTCTGTTGTACACAGGGTCACTATGAGTCAGAACCAACTCAACGTCACCTAGCAACAACAATAAAAATTATTTTTTCATATACCTACTAATTTCTTTCTTATAATATTCTTTTGAAGCACATATATCTTTTTAATTAAAATTTTTTTAAAAAGTTCATGTTAAAAGAATGGAAGGAACATTCTTTTACTCCATCTGTGTTGGTAAATGTACATGAGGGCTAGCTTAGAGGCTCTCTGACCTCAGGAGGAAGTGAGACCGCCTGGCAGCTGATGGAACTACTGCTGCCTTTGGGATGGGCAAACATAGATGCTCTGTCTTCATGACAAGTTACTTTATGGGTTCTCATTTACTTCCATAGTTTTAAAGAGCCAAAGGTGAGTGTTGGTTATAAAGCCTCTACTCATCCAGTCAGAGGACATTTTGCATAAACAAAAGCATAAATTGTTCTGAAATGAGGCTTCTGTAGTACTCCTCCATTCTAACAATTCTCAGCATTCCTACTTTCCTTCTCCAGTGTCTTAGCTTGTGCGCAGTGTTAGACCACTGGTTTAAGAAACACCGTCTTTGGAGTTCTGAGATGTCCAGATGTGTGGTGCCTTCCACACAGTTCAGTATGTATGTAAACATGTATGTGAAGAAAAAGCATAGCAGTTCTACTAACATGTACAGGAGTGCTGGGAGCACTATAGGATAATCACTGGACTGTTAACCACAAGGTTGATAGTTCAGGTTCAAACCCACCAGAGGCCCCTTGGGAAAGAGATGAATCTTTCTGTTCCTGTAATGATTCACAGCCTTGGAGACCCTGTACAGGGTTTCTGTGAGTTGGAACCGACTTGATGGCACCTAAAAACAACAGGCACTGGACAGAAATCATTAGTTCTGTAATGTACTGTTTAGAATACACCCCATATGTAGACTTGCTTGAGTGGGTCTCTGCAGCTCCCTGAGCACTTGGTAATGAAAATAGGCAAGCTGCCCGGTGGTTTAAAATGTGAGATTTGCACGTTTACATTATAACAGAATGGATTTTTTCTTTTGAAAATCACTGCATTGGTAACTCAGTCTGTGGTACTAATCTCTGAATAATCTTTTGGGTATTAGGAAAGTATCTGATAACTTTTTTGAAGTTGGTTTAGTCTCCTGAAATTCTCAGAGAACTGAGTTGTTTGTCAGCAGGAAGTGAAATGTAAGCGACAGGCCTTCTCTTCTTGGAGGCACTAAGAGTGAAGACGGGGGATGCTTGGGATAGTCAGGCGATTTCCTTAGGTTTTAGAAGAGTAGATTTCCTGAAATTAAAAAAGCTAAACTTCATTGTGTCTCTAAAAGAGTTACAGGAGTCCTGGTGTGGCAATGTAGGGTAAGCACTGGACTACTAACCACAGGGTCGGCGGTTCAAACTCACTAGCCACTCCTAGGAAGCCCTATATAGGGATGTGTAAGTCGGAACCTGACTCAACAGCACTAAAAGAGTTAGAAAGTGCATTACTTAAAAGAGACTGAAGTTTTAAAAATTGTATATTCTGCTTAAACACAAAGACCTTCCTGATTAGGAAGATGTGTGCTATTGTAAGAAGTGTTCCTGTTAAATTTTAAAGGACATTACCTGATCAAGTAATTATCTTAGACCTCTAGCTCTTCTTTCAGATTAAGCTTGGAATGGTATGCAGATGGCAAAGCACTGAAACAACAAAATGGGCTTTTAAGTTCTGTTCCGAGCCAGGAAAAACCCAGGAAATGATAGAGCCACCATTACGAAAGATCCTGTCCAGAATTCAGAAGGGCAGGGAAGGGAGGAGGAACGGAAACAAGAAATGCAGGGAGGAAGTGGGATAAGTGAATCATGAGATTAAATGCAGTGTATGATTTGTTGAATGTAAAACTGATGATCTGCTCTATAAACCTTCACTCAGTTCACAATAAAAAATTAAAAACCAACAACAAAAAAAGAAAGATCCTGTCATATTACTTATGTTATAGTTGTTGTTGTTGTTAATGCCATTGAGTCGATCCCTACCCATAGTGATGCTGTATATAGGGTTTCTGAGAGCAGCTGGTGAGCTTGACCCGCCGACCTTGCCGTTCAAATGGCTTTGCAGTCTAATGCATTAGCCCACAGCACGACACCAAGACTCCTTATGCCTTAGAGAGAAAGCAAACCTCCTAACATGTTTTGTTTCATTTTCTTCTTTTCTGTTAGAACAAACAGTGACTGGAAAGCTAGTTTACAGTACCTAAATATTATTTTAGAGAGAAGTACATTAATGGTTCTTGATTAAAGCATGACTTTTATAAAACACAATTCTCCTCTTTCACTGTATTTGCACAGGGAGGTGGCTAACCCTTTTTCTAAAGGAGAAAAATCTAGTCCCTGCCCTGTCATGGAACTCAGGACCTAGCTACTAGTTAAGGCATAGTGGAGGCTGGCAGGGAATGAGGCATCATTATTCAACAACTTGATGACCCTCTGATTTCAGCAAATGCAAGACAGAGTGCTGTGAAGTATTCTACTCCAAATGAAGGATTTAAAATAAGGAAAAGTCTTTATAGGCAGTAAACCTTGAACCTTTTAAAACAAGGAAAACATTTTTATTATGAGAAAGGAATTAAGAAAGCCTTTTTATGAGAAACAGTAGCTGAGTGCAGTAAGTACTTGCTGTGTGTGAAGAACTGCTCTAGGTGTTTTTTATTATTAATACTGAAATGATTTCTTTTTAATTATAACTTGATGGCACTGAACGACAACAGTCTACTATAAAAGTAGTAGTAGTTTTAATCATAATTAGTGCTAAGTGCCGTTAAGTTGGTTCCGACTCATAGCAACCGTATATAAGGTTTCCAAGGCATGGCTGCAACTGCCATTCTCATCATGGTTAGCAGTTATTTACTATGTGTCAAGAATGGTACTAAGTACTATAGATGTATTATCCCCTCAAGTGTTCAAGACTTGAACCCACACTGACTCTTAGCCCGGCCTCCTAGGCTATGCAGTAAACATTTTTATTTGGGCCAAGTGTAAACATTTGTGGTCAGAAGTAAAATGGACCCAGTAGGTGAAAAGGTTTGAATAAATGAAGAATTGAAACCAGTTTAGTGGATGAAAGTGTAAAGCATACAAGAGTGTTGAGGTTAAGAACCAAGGATTTAGAGTCAGAGCAATCTAATTTTAAATCTTATGGCGTGTGTTTAGTTGTGCGACCACCTTCCATTGCCACTTAACCTCTGTATGTCTCAGTTTTACCCTCTGTGTAATGCAAGAGTGATCCTTTACTAATAGGAGAGTTGAATTAAAGGGGATAATACATCTACAGTACTTAGCACCGTTCTTGACACCTAGTAAAAAATAGATGGTAACCATTAATTAACACTCTAAATTGCTAGGAGCCCTAGTGGCACAGTGGCTTAAGTATTGGGCTACTAACTGAAAGGTTGGCAGTTCAAACCCACCAGCTGCTGCAGGGAGAAAGATGAGGCTGACTGCTCCGATAAAGATTCAGTCCTGGGAACTCAATGGAGCAGATCACTTTGTGTCCTGTAGGGTCTCTATGAGTTGGAGTTGATTTGATGGCAATGGGTGTATAATAATTCTTACTGGCAGTGGAGTATTAATTAAAGGTAAAAGATCAGTGATCCAGAGGAAGTTGAATCTGACAGTAGGAGTTAGGATGAGTTAGGAGGCCAGAGCAGAGGCAAGAATAGTAGAATGTAGTTGAAATAATCTAGATGACAAGTATTGCCTGAAAGTGATGTAGTGGGAGTGAGCAGAGAAGAGGCACAGATAATGAATCCCAGAGACCGTGCAGAGGCATAATCAGAGTGTGATGATACATTCATCAAGCATTTTACATATTTGTAGCGAATTCTCAGGTCACTGTTGTCCTTGGTGTAACTACATGGATGCTTGCATTCAGGAGTAATGGTTCTAACTGTGGCATTCTGAATATACTGGAAAAACTTTTTTTCTTCTATACTATTCCTACCCCTCTTCCATCAAAACAATAACAGAGTTTTTTCTTTTTTGGGGGAGGAGGGTGTCGGGGGAGGTGGGTTGTACATATTTTAGCCATCTAAAATAATCCCGGCATCCTCCCACCCTTTCTGCACCCCCACCCTCCAGGTAAGTTTCTTTGTGAACAGGGACTGCTGATTGAAATCCCGTTATCTGTTTTATTTCAGTGCAAGCTACTAATCATTCAGTGTGTAGACTTCAACAGAGGGAACAAGAACAAAAAAAGGTAAAAAAATTTAAGACAATAGCGCATATAACTTTTAGGCTTTTATCATAATCATTAACAGATGCTTTCTCTGATTTTTTTTTTCTTTAATGCAGTAACTTGTAAAGATTTTTAAATGGCTAACTCATTAAAATCCATAGAGAAGGGTCACTGTGACATGTTTATAATTCAGTCCTCTTTTGTTGCTTTTTGACATTTCATTCAAAAAAGAAAGAGGAAACAAGACTTTTATATTGAACAAATTATATCTGTTGTTATTAGGTGCCAGTAAATCAGTTCTGACTCCTAGTGACCCTATTTACAACAGAACAAAATACTGCCTGGTCCTGGTGCATCATGGTCCTTGCTGGTTTTGAGTCCATTGTTGTAGTTACTGTGTCAGCTCATCTTGTTGGGAGTCTTCCTCTTTCCCACCGACCCTCCGCTTTACCAAGCATGATGTCTTTCTCCGTGGCCTAGTCCCTCTTATAACATGTCCAAGGTATGTGAAGTGAAGTCTCCTGGCTTCTATGGAGCATTCTGGTTGTAATTCTTCTAAGATAGGTTTGTTTGTTCTTTTGGCAGTCCATGGTACTTTCAATATTCCTTGCCAACACCGCAAGTCAAATGTGCCAAATCCTCTTGAGTCTTCTTTTTTCATTGTTCATCTTTGAAATGTACATAAGGCTATTGAATGAAAATACCATGGCATAGGTCAGGCACACCTTAGTGTTTAAAGTGATATTTTTGCTTTTTAATACTTTTTAATACTTAAAGAGGTATTTTGCAGCAGATTTGATTTCTTGATAGCTACTTCCATGAGCATTGATTATGGATCCAAGTAAAATTAAATCCTTGACAAGTTCAGTATTTCCTCCATTTATCATTATGTTGTTTATTGGTCCAATTGTGAAGGTATTTGTTTTTCTTTACCTTGAGGTGCAATCCATAGTGAAGACTATAATCTTTGATCTTCATCAGTAAGTGCTCCTGCTCCTCTTCACTTTCAGCAAGCTGGGGTTTGTCATCTGCATATTGCAAATTGTTAATGAGTCTTTCTCCAGTCCTGATGCCAGAGTCTTCATATGTAGTCCAGCTTCTCAGATTATTTGCTCAGCATACAGATTAATTATGTTGAAAAGATAGAACTCTGACAAACCTTTCTTGATTTTCAACCATATAGTGTCCTCTTCTTTTGTTCGAAAGACTGCCTCTTGGCTCATGAGTACACTTAAATACTCTGGAATTCCCATTCTCCTCAATGTATACATAATTTGTGTTATCCACACAGTCCAATGCCTTTTCTTTTTAATATATTTTTTAAAAGACAACTTTATTTTTAAATGGGCAAAAGAATGTATATTCACAGAAAAATAAATGTAAATGGATTTTAAATACATAAAATACATGAAAACAGGTTAACTTACTCTTTTTTCAGATTTTCTCATATACTCCTTCAGTTGTAGCTACACCAAGTCAATTTTAAGCCTAAAATTATTTCAAAATATAAAGAGAAGGTTTTTTTTAAAAAAAGAGTAATTTCACTCATAATAAGAGAAAAGCAAATTAAAACAGCAATGAACTAAAGGTCATATAAAGGGGGCCTCTGGTATCCTGGATGTGGCGCTGCAGGATAAGCAGGACTGCTAACTGCAAGGCTGGTGGTTCAAACCAACCAGCTGCACGTGGAAACCTTGTATGGGGCTGCTATGAGTAGGAAGTGGCCGGATGGCACCCACCAACAAACCAGCATCTGGGCTGCAGAACCTGGTCTGTTTTTCATACGGGGTGGTTTTACACAGTGTGTTTTAACTTTGAAGATCATTAAGCTGCACACTATGATAAACATAATTTTGGTATTATATATTTATATTTTATCTGATAGCGATGTAGGATTAGTACTGGACTGCTAACCCCAAGGTTGGCGATTCAAGCCAGCCAGCTGTTCCTCAGAAACTACACAGGGTAGCTATAACTTGATGGCAGTAAATGATAATTTTTAATATTATATTTCAATTAAGAATTTTTTTAAAGACTTCACTGGGTTCCTGGCAATTCATTGTTCCTTTCAGTGTTTTTTTTTTAAGTTTTTATTTTGAATTGAGTGAAGATTTACAAGGCAGATTATCAGTTCTACATTCAACAAATCATATATCTTTACATTGCAATTCTTACAATTCTATCCATATACTGTCAGTTAACAATAATTACCTCTATTCCCGCCTCTCCTTTTTTTTGATGTACACGTAAAAAATATATATTCATTTAAATGTCCACAGGGCACATTTTGCAAGCCAGCCTCCTGCCCGTAGGCACACAGCCTTTCTCAGTCCATGGGCCTAGTTGTTGTTGTTAAGTACTGTGGAGTCGGTTCCAACTCACAGTGACCCTGTACAGTGTTTCCGAGGCTATAAATCTTTACGGGAGCAGAAAGCCTCATCTTTCTCCATGAGACAGCTGGTAGTTTTGAACTGCTGACATTGAGGTTTGCAGCCCGATTCGTAACCACTACGCTACCAGAGCTCCTTCCTCAGCTATTCTCTCTCTCAATGCCATTGCCTCTGCCACCACTTTTCTGGGTAGGATCTCATGCTCTACTCATGTTCTTATTTCTTTATGGTCCTAGGGTCTTCTGTTCCTGAAATGAAAGATTAACTACTTCCCCTTTTAGTAGCACATCTACATTAACAGTTGTAACAGTCACAATTAGCCCTGATAACAGTTACTCACAACTGAATCATAAAATCACGTTCGCTATTATCCCTTACCCCCTTTCACCAGACCCATCTGGAAAAGGACAAAGTGTTTTAGTGGGGATTCTACTTTACCCCTCTCATTCTGAAACTAAGCACACTCACGAAAGCTTGTAAGCCAACCACTTAGTGCTTTCATAGCCCTCCAGTTTTGATAGCCAATGTCTACGTTTCCCATCCCTGTCAACCCAGTGTACTGAGCAGACCAGCTTGTTCCTTGATATAAAGAATCTTTTCCCTTAAAGTTGAAATTTTGAGCTAGTTCATCCATAAGCAAAGGGTCCAGTTCATCAGACTCTAGCAATTTACACTTACTTCCTGTGTCAAATGCCTTTTGTCTCCATCCCAATGCCTTTTGTGTCAATAAAACACTCGGTAGCGCAGTGGTTATGAATCAGGCTGTTAACCACAAGGTCTGCAGTTCGAAACTGCCAGCTGCTCTGCAGGAGAAAGATGAGGCTTTCTGTTCCTATAAAGATTTGCAACCTCGGAAACCCTGTGCAGGGTTGCTATGAGTTGGAACTGACTTCATGGTACTTAACAACAACAACAACAAAAACATCTTTTTGGTATTCCCTACTTTCAGCTAAAATTCATCTGACATCAGCAGTGATATTCTCTGTTCCATGTCCTCTTCTGAATTCATTTGGAATTTCTGACAGTGCCTTGTTGATGTACTACTACAACCACTTCTGAATTATTTTCAGCAAAATCTTTCTTGCATTTGATATTAGTGATACTATTCAATAATTTCTGCATTCTGTTGTGTTGCCTTTCTTTGGAATGGATACAGATGCAGATCTCATCCAGTTGATTGGAAATTTGTTGGTGTAGACTAATGAATGCGTCTAGTGCTACATCTGTTTGTTAAAACATATCTATTGATGTTCCATCAATTCCTAGAGCCTTGTTTTTGACCAGGGACTTTTTTTTCCCATTAGTGCAACTTGAACTTCTTCCTTCAAGACCTTCAGGTTCTTGATCGTATGCTACCTCTTGAAATGACTGAATGCCAACCAGTACTTTTTTGGCACAGTGATTCTTTGTATTCATACCGTCATCTTTCGGTGCTTTGGGCATTGTGCAGTATTTTGCCCCTAGAATTGTTCAGTATTTCAAGTTGAAGCTTGAATTTTGTCTTCATTCTTTTAGCTTGAGAAATGCTGAGCTGTCTTCCCTTTTGGCTCCTAACTTTGTACATTTCATTAAAATACTTTGTCTTTTCGAGCTGCCCATTGAAATATTCTGTTCTGCTCTTATACTTCATCATTTCTTCCATTTGCTTTAGCTGTTCTGTGTTCTAGAATGTGTTTCAGAGTCGTTTCTGTCATCCACTTTGGTACTTTGTTTCCTGTCTTTTAAATGACATTTGCTTTCTTCATGTACGATATCTTTAATGTCTTTCCATAACCCTTTATCTTTGGTAATTAGTGTCCAATGCAACAAATTTATTCTTGATTTCTCTAAATTCAGGTGGAATATACTCAAGGAGTCCTGGTGTGGCACTGTAGGTTAATGTGCTGGACTGCAAGATTGGTTTGAATTGCAAGATTGGTGGTTCAAGCTCACCAGCTGCTCCTTGGAAATGCTATACAGGGTCATTGTGAGTTGGAACTGACTATGTGGCCCTTAACAACAGCAATGTACTCAAGGTCATGCTTTGGCTTTTGAGGACTTGTTTTAATTTTCTTAAGCTTCAACTTGAACTTGCTTAGGAGCAACTGATGATCTGTTCAGCATCAGCTGCTAACCTCGTTCTGAGTGATGATACCGAGTTTCTCCATTGTCCCTTTCTACAGGTGTAGTTGATTTGATTTTTACGTAACCATCTGAGGAAGTCCAAGTGTAAAGTCACCATTTATGTTGAAGAAAAGTATTTGCAATGAACAAGTGGCTGGTCTTGGAAAATTCTACCATATGATCTCTGGCATCATTTCTATCACTAAGGCCATATTTTCCAACTATTGATCCTTCTTTATTTCTAGTTTCAGTTGGCAAAGACATTCAATGTCTTCATCTTTTGCATTAGGGTTTGGTCTGTAAATTTGAATAATGGTAGTAATAATTGCTCTTCCTTGTAGACATTGGGATATTATTACTGACAGTGTTACACTTCAGCATAGATCTTGAAATGTACAATTTTTTATTCCCAGCATAGCAGATCATATGATTGCCTGAATCAAAGTGGCTAATACCAGTCCTTTTCAACCTGGGATATTGATTTCTCTGCATTCCATATCATTTTGATGAAACTAAGCTTTTCTAAAT